TAGATACTAAAGTGGATTAATCTATCAACTATTCACACTTTCTTAGATTGTTTGAAGGAACCAAAGCTGACCCCCAACACTAAACCTAACACGATTGCTTGTTTTGGGGCTTGGTACACATGGATCGGATTCTTCAAACAAGTCTAGAAGGTAAATCCTTGTGTAGATTTATCACCTTTTCTTTCTCTATTTACGATCCTAAATAGTTAAGTATATTTATGAAGTTTGAAAACAATACACACACACACACATATATATATATATATATATAAATAATATTAAGTTTATAGGTTTTTAGTTAAGAGCAATTAGAATATGACTTGGTGGTTACAACCATTAAGGCTTGATTCATAATGTTTCCAACAAAAATGATTTGAATGGGACTTGGTGGCTACAACCATTAAGCCTCACTTCATATGTATTCTTGGATATAGTTCAAAAAGAAGTGACCAGGACTTGGTGGCAAACACCATAAAGGCTTGTTTCATGGAAGCCTGTCCAATCTTGGTCTATAATCATGCCTTCGAAGCAGATTTTGACTCAAGAGAGAAATTATAAAAGAGAACAGATATGAACTAAATTTTACTTGCAGATCCAGATACTTGTTTGAAAATCCTTGCATCCTGTGATCGATGATCCCAAGGTAAATCTTGCACTTTTATTTTATGTTAAGAAATGAGGTTAGTTGAGGAGAATGTCAGATAATATTTTCTAAGCTAATGGCTAGATGAATTTGGTTGCTAAGCTAGGATATGTCATAATAAACTTATGTGATTAGAACTGCTTAGCTATGGATTGAAATATTATAGAGGTGATGATTTCAAATTTTTAAATCTGTGAGTCTCTGCTCTTTTCAAACCTCTTTCAAAGAGACTGCTTGTTTGTTTTGCTTGAGGACATGCAAAAGGGTAATTCTGCGGGAGTTGATATACCATGATTTTGACCCACTTTTAGTCATGGTATAATGGTGTATTATAACTATTTATTATATTATAGAAGCTTTTAAACATATTTATAGGTTCAGAAGTATTTTGGAAGAAAGTGATGTTTATGGAGAATTTTAGAGTGAATTGGAGAAATCACTCAACTTTCAATCGACCAAGACGACGAGGTCGGCACAGAGTGATTCACGTCGATCGATATGCACTCTGCAATATCAATCGATGCGAAAGGCGCGGAAGACCAACTCGCGAGATAACCAACCTGAAACCCAAGTCTTCACCAAATGACCAATTATCCCCCTGATGATTTTTAACCTAAGTATTTATACTTTGCAAAGGTGTTTTAGGCAGAAGAGAGCTTTCGTGTATCCTTTTTACAAATAAGAAACTTTTTAGGATTTATATTTTGGGAGAGAAGATCGAGTGAGATTTATTATTGAAAGCCCATTGATTTCTATTTATCTATACTATGCAGTTTAATTACCTTGCTTGTGTTATGATTTGCTTAGCCATGTCTGAATAATTCATCTGTTAGAATTAGGGTTTAAATTGGTTAGTGGGATTAGCCCCATTTATATGATCGCTTGTTTTGGTATTCATTAATATGATGTTGTTAATGCTTATGTTCAAGACTTGCTAACTAGAAACCTGGATCTAGGAACTTTGGATTGTTTAACCAACCTTTAGACAACTCTAATTTTCCTGAATACATCTTATTAAGCTAGGATTTTAATAGAGAGAATGCGACAGCTTGATCTAGGGGGTCCATAGTGAGTATAAAATTAACTCGCGAATAACGCTTGACTAGCTTCATCGATCGATATAGCCATTGGAAATCCATCGACGTCGAGTAAGGTGTATCGATGAATATTCATATAGAATAGTCGATCGACATTGTTATTAATCGGACATTATTGTTTGGGTCAATAACAATCTAATCAATAAACTTATTTATTAAGTGAGAGTTTAGTGAATCTGTTATTAAGATATTTAAGTTTTTAATACCATGCAAACAACTAATTATCACCTATAGGATTATAATATCCAACACCTGAATAAAAGCCCTTAGTCTAACACCTTTTCAGTTTAGTTCAAACCCTCATTCTATTCTGTGGAGTAATTGTCTTGCTCAACTAGAATATTTACTTTTTTCTTGTTTACTTGTTTACTGTAATTTTACATTTAATATCAACCTAGTATTATTACTTTATTAGATTTAAGTTGTTCCTTAGCTCCTTGTGGATTCGATCTCTAAATATTACAACTGATCTCTTATTTGAGAGAGTAAATCTCTTCTTAGGGTAATATGAGCACGTATCACATAATCTGACGGATGAAATAGTAATCCCCAAACACAAGAGCCCACATGAAGGCAGCAGACCGAACCCACTCCGAGGCAACATGCGGCAACAAACAAAAATTCCAACTTAAAACTTAATGACTTATCAATTTAAATCCAAGTAGTGTCCAATGATCGGGAATTTTTACTGCTGCCAATAGTCCGCACGCGAAAATATCCACCTCCTACACCTAGTGCACCATGACTTATCATTGCTGCTCATGCATGCCAAACGATAATGTCCACAGAACCAAAACCCCATGACTTCATAACCCGACAGGAGGGAACTCTAGTCAGTCCACACAACCTTCAGATACGGATGTGATGCATTCAACATCCACTTACTCCTAGCTAGAAGTCCACACATAGTCTCAACCAACACGAAGCTTTAACCGATGAACCACTCCGGAAACACTCACAAAATAATAAACGAACACAAACAACCATCTATATGAAGAAAAAAAACCTACTACTTAAACTTTCACAAAAAAATCAAAAAGAGAACTATTTCAACTGCAGTCGCAACTAACTCAAATCTAAATTCGGACACCATCCACACAGACTTGTGAACGAAAGCTAGAGGATAGATGAGAAACCTAACCGTGAAAACTAGAAACGATATGGATTTTCAGTCCATCCGAACTCTAGATCAATCCACATCTTCAATCGAACCCACCAAAAAAGACATGAACAACTAGAGTACGAAGGAACGAGTCCATCCCCGGTGGTGGTGAGAGAAACGACCACCAAGGAGAGAATTGAAAGAAGAAGAGCACTTAACATTAAACTCTAGTATTGAGATAAAAACAAGTTATTATTGATTGTCTTGACAGATTCTTGTTTATGTAGTATTACAAAGGACCATGCGTTATTTTACCCTGATACCAAGCATAAAAACTAATAAATAGTTTTTACTATATTTTATTTTCAATATTATACTTTTGATATTTTAAAATTATTAGAAAAGTTAATTCAGTAAAACATATACACTAGTAAGTAAATTAAAACTTAATTTATCACATAAAGAATAAGGATGCAACAGCCATTAAAATATACTAGATCCTTTTTCCGCGCTACGCGCGGATAGTGTACAGTAATTTTTTTCATTTCATTTTTTTTTGATATTTTACATTATATTATATTTAATAATAAAATTGATAGTAATACCTTGGTTGGATTAACAAAATAACCTTATGATTTAAAATATGATAATGATACCTTGAAATATTGAATTATTTTTTTTTAGATATAATTATATTAATTTTTTTAACTATTGTTTGCTTATTTGCATTAATGTCCATGAAAGAATGATTATTATATATTTTAATAATATTTTAAATAAGTGATATGTTATCTAAATGTTTGCTTTTTTCATAACTTTTATTATTATTTTCTGTTATTTCAAAACTACTACATTCTGAATAGAAATGTCTATATTTACATTAGCCGCATTTAACCTCAATTTTTAAGAATTAAAAAGATACTTATAATCATAGAATTAACTAATCTAGATTTTAGAGTTTAGATTCGAGGGATACTATTTCGAAAGATGAGGTATAGGATTTTAATAAATATATAAACAAATACTTATTTTTTATAAAACAAACTTTTAAAAAGTTTTAAAAAAATTGAATTCGAAAATGGAACTTTGAAAAAAAATGATAATTTGAAATAAATAAAATTTGAAAAAAAAAAATTTGAACAATTTTTTTTTTAAAATAAGATTATAAAAAAGTTCCAATTTGAAATTGTATAATTCAATAACTATATAATAAAATTATTTTATAATTTATTTAAATAATTATTTATGTTTATACATCGATAAAGTAAGGATATATAAGTTTTTTTACTATTTAATGAAGAAGGTATTTGTAAGAGTATCATTTAATGAAGGTAAATATGAACTGCAGTAGTATAAAAAAAAAGTAAAAGTGAATATATATCTTTTTTATATGTTTTAGAAGACTTTCACATAGAGTGAAACCTCTTAAAATTAATAATGTTGGGAATACACCAAAAACTAATTTATAGATATACTAATTGTACCAAAAACTCAATTTGGGACTATAAAATTATATTAATTTATAGAGATATTTAGTATATATTAATTTATCGAGTATTAATTTATAGAGGTTCTACTGTATATTTTTGTATCTTTACTTCTTAGTTTAACCATATTTTAGTTTACTATTTTTTATTGTTTTATTGTTTTCTTTGTTAAACTAAATATATACAATACATTAATATTTCCACCTGGTGTTTTCATATTTTATATTAATTCTAAATTAACACATAATTAATATTTGTGTATTCAGTATACAATATATAATTTTTTTTGGTTGTTGTAACTTTACAATATATTATTGTTTATGAACATACAATATACTACTGTTTTTGAACTGACAATATATTATTGTTGAGTCCGCTTTTTCACCAAAAAACGTGAAAGAAACGTTTCAACAAATTTAGGATACACCGTCACATTTAATACCATATTATTGTATATATGTTGGTTAAAAATGCAGTTTACCAAATGCTACTTAACAAAACTATAATTCAGCAGACTTGTAAGGTCCATTTTTTTAGTAAGACATTATAAGAATAGCTCTGGTGAAAATAATAACCCAGAGACTAACTTTGTTGTTTCACTATATAACAAAAGTTTCCAGGCTGATGATATATATATTCAAACACTCATCGTTCTTTTAATGCTCTGGCTACTAATCTGAAGCCAGCAATCTCATATGCTGTGTAAGAATCTCAAGATTCCTAGACCTCTCTGGAGTAAGCTGTCCAATATCATAATCATCTGCTTTCTCCATTTCTTCTTCTATCAGCTCGAGTGCAATACTCTTGTCTAGTTCCATTCTTCCTCCATTTTCATCATCCTTCTCCTCCAATGTCACATCATCTTTTCCCTTCTTCACATTCTTCTCCTGCACATTCTTCTTCTTCTTTGAAGGGCTCAACAACAAAAGCTTTTCCCAAGCCCCATCATCATACAAATCAGGTATGATCAATGGCACACTCTTCTCATCCAAGCAGAACTTCAACATGTCAGCGTTACTCAAGAAATCATTTATGTCATTCGAGCTTGACTTTGTTGTTGTTCCCTCTGATTGTGGCTTTTGGTATGTTACTAAAGGAAGACCATTCGAGTTTGTTTCTCCATCATCAGTAAATTCCTCCAAAATCTTCGCTCCTCCTTGTGGGAACCGAAATCCACCTACTGTCAATAAATCGTAAATAAGGAAACTTCGGGAAAACCCTAATTTTCCAGAGGAACCGGCTATCTGCAGAACCGCACAACGAATATTAAGAAAACGACGAACTTAGAATTTAAAAGAGAATAAACGAAATTGAGAGCAAAGAGGTTCTTATTCCGAATCTGCGTAAGAACTGTTACAACGAGAGTAGCCTTAGCTGCGTTAGCCGTCGGCAAAATCCCTAGAAATCTAAGAACAAAAACCCTAGTTGAGACGCAGCTAGCTAACAGAAAACAGAAATATTCCTAAATACTAGTTTTTGGTGGTGAGAGCTTTGAAAATCGTGTCCCAGCTTCTGCCCCATGCCTCTTGCTTATATACTCCCTCTTAGGCGGTTTTTGTCTTTCCATTTTGCCCGAAACTGAGTTTATCGGGAATTTTCCATTTCTTTCGATCCTTCCTTTTCTTCCGCGAAAATCTTCTATTTATCTCCAAACTTGCCTTTTGTCTTCAAACTTGACATTTATCTTCCTTCCGCGAGTAAACCATCAAAACGGTATCGTATTTTCGGGTTAGATTCTGTTGAGATCGCGAGATGGGCTTTTATCGCGTTTTAGGACCTTCCGGGCCGTTTTGCGATAAATCCGTTTCTCGACCTTGTACGGAATCGTTTCCTGATTCGATGCCATGTTTAGTAAATTCCTCGAGTTAATCGTAATGTTTAGCTACGTTTTTTTCTCGGTTAATTGTTTCCGTCTTTTACGATTTACTCGACATTTTTATTAAAAACGCGTTTTTTACGATTTACTCGACATTTTTATTAAAAATATGGTTTTTTCGACTTTAACGAAAAATCTCGGATAAATCGTATAGTTTAGGAGATGTTTGATGTCTTGCTTAACCGTTACCGTTTTATACGATTTCTTCGAGTTCTTTTCGAGAAAACGAAATTTTACGGTTTTTATCGTAAAATTCAAACGATAAGTCGGATCGAGACGAAACGAGAGACATTTCGGCCGTGGTTCAGAATGCGACCGTGTCGAAGGACGTAATTTTCGAATCGGGGATGTGGGAGATCGAGGCTCGGGATGGTCGGTTCAACGTACGGAGAATCGAGCCGGTCCGATCCAGCTCGCCGGTTTGACGAACTAGTCGGGAACCTTGTAGTTCGCCTGCTGGTGAACTAGTCGGGAACCTTGTAGTTCGCCAGCAGGCGAACTAGCCGTGGCTAGTTCACATTTTGCGACGGTTTCGGTTTTTCACGGTTTTATAAAACGATTCTCGAGTTTTATAAAACGACTTCTCGAGTTTTATAAAACGATTCTCGAGTTTTATAAAACGATCTTCGAGTTTTATAAAACGACTTCTCGAGTTTTATAAAACGATCTTCGAGTTTTATAAAACGACTTCTCGAGTTTTATAAAACGATCTTCGAGTTTTATAAAACGACTTCTCGAGTTTTATAAAACGATTCTCGAGTTTTATAAAACGATCTTCGAGTTTTATAAAACGACTTCTCGAGTTTTATAAAACGATCTTTGAATTTTATAAATCGACTTCTCGTGTTTTATAAAACGATTCTCGAGTTTTATAAAACGATTCTCGAGTTTTATAAAATGATTCTCGGGTTTTATAATACTATTCCTTTCGTATTTTTGCGGGGAATTTTGGCTATTGATTATGTCGTACCGATTTTGACCCCAACAGTTAGCCCCCCAGCTCGTAAGAATCGTGGGGTTCTTGCGAGTGGATTGAGCTTGTTTGGCGAGTTTGATAGAATTAGGCGGAACTTTAATGGCCAAAAGTCCAAGGTTGAATAGTAAAATTCTTTCTTATAAGTAGATGGAGTAAAATTTTGAATTCTTTACCTCATTCTCTACAACTTATCCAAGAAACTTTTCTCTCTACTTCCTTTGAATTTATCTTTTCCAGGATTTTCAAGCATGTTTTCAAGAAGAAGAACTCGTTCCTCAACAAGCTCCAATTCTCGCAATTCTGAGGGAACGAGCTCACAGCCTCCAGTTTTAGTTCTGAAAGAGGAGTATTCGTCTCCGTCAATCAATCCGATGGACCATGCGGCCTTTTGGGCGTTGGGAGATGAGTCGAGGTTTGCTAGGCCTGGGACTTGGGTTCCAGCTTTGTCGGGCGCTGATCAAACTTCCGGATGTCCGAACCCGACTCTTTTTAACAGTATCGATTACATGCACGAATTTTGCCGAGTTCCAGAGGCAGTCGAGTTTCGTCTCCCACTTGCCGGGGAGGGCGACAAGGATGCGCCCGAAGGTTTTTTCACATGTTATAACACATTTTTGCAGCAATGCCACTTATGGTTTCTGATCCCGGAGATCATCGTTCGTTACCTTCATAGGCTGGGGCTATCGATCAGTCAGTTGACTCCCCCCGGTTTAAAGCAACTCGTTGGTCTCTTGACGCTGAGCTACGAGCAGGGAATTACCCTTAGCGTCGATCATCTCGAGGGTCTATTGAAACCCATGGAGCAGTCGCAGAGGATCACTTTATACCCTCGTATGGGAATCGTTACGGGCTGCTCAACGATCTCTCCTTCTTGGAAGAAAAATTTCTTCTATGTTCATATTGACAGTGCATCAGTCGAGGAGGATTGCATTCCGCTTTTTACGACCGTGTGGGTCGGAAAGGTATGTGAGTCGAGTTCATAGAATCTTCTCCTTCTTTTTTTTTATTTGTTTCTGTTTCTCCGCAGTGACCAACCCTTTGCCTCCGTATCCTGTGGATCTCCCGAGCATCACCGCTTCTCTTAAACGTGGTGAAGTTGGCTGGTGCAGTTTTTGTCCACAACGCATCCGCCAAGCGGTTGCTCTCTTCCGATCTCGGCTTTTTGCGGACTCGCCGAGTTATGGGGAGGATCCGTTTCTCGGAGAATTTATCCCATACGTTCCCTCAATGAGGAGAAGCGGGTCGAGATTTCAAAGAGATAAAAATCCGGTCGTTGAAGATGACGATTCTGAACGTGCTGCCTCTCCTGACAATATTCTCAAGGCCTTCCTTGATAGTCAAACGGAAGAAGGTGTCTGGATGAAAGCGGGTGGATCATCGACCTCCCATTTTCCGGGCGTTGATCATGATCAAGTCCCAGAGTTTACTAGAGGGTCTGAGAAAGCTAAAGAGGTACGTGTGTTTATTTTTTTTTTTGAGAAATTTTATCATCGGATGATGTCGCTTAATTCTTTTCTTTGGTAGGGTTTCCTTGTCATGAGCCGGGCCCTAGACAGTCGTAATGCTGAAGCTCGTCTTGATGAGTTTCGGGCAGACATGGCTGAAAAAGAAGTCACTCGTCTTCGGGCAGAGGTCGAGGCTAACCGAGCCGAAGAAGTGGTTGCGAGGGAAGTTGCTCGCGTGAGGGATGACTGTGCGGCTAAATCTCGCCGCGCCAAGGAGCTTGCTGACCGAAGGATTCGTCGTGCTCGTCGTGCGGGCAAACGGGAGGTTGCCGAGGAGATGAAGGCCCGTCGTGAGCGATTTGCAACCGGTTGTTCGGATGCCGAAGTTGTTCAACGGGTGCATGGTGATTAGCACGAATGTTGCGGGATCATTCATTCGCTTTCTGAGGAATACACCGTGCAGCGGGGATACTTGGATCAGGAAAGAGATATGCAGCCCGAACTTTTCGACCTTAGGGCGCGCATGTGGGATCAGTGGAATCCCATTGTGGTGTCACCGGATTCGGTCGAAGTTGGACCTGGGATATCGGATGTGGATGGCGAAGTCGATCAGTCCGCGTTCGACGACTTCAATGTGTGATGTTATTGTTTTTATGATTTCGTTGTTGCTTTTCTGGGACTGGCCGTTGGTGGCTTTGAATCCCTACCGCTGGGCGGTGTGTACTTGAAGGCTTTCTAATAAGATAATATTTTCTAAGTATGAAATTCGCGTTTCGTTTTTAGATGTAGAGGGAAGAATACGAGTTGTCATCTCGCATCTAACTCTTGGTGTAAATCGTCCGTTTCGTTAACTCGGAAGGTTCCGATTTTCGCGAGTGTTTAGATGTGGGCGAAGAGACATGCCTTTAGGATCTCGATTCATGCCTTGAGACGTTAGCGACCAGTGTGCTGGGTTTAGGGCAAGACCTAGGTTTACTCTCGGGTTGAGGCTATGCGATGACTAATCGGCTTTCGTTTTGCCTGTTGCAATTTTAACCTGACTCCATACCGATTTAGAATCCGCGATAGATTCTCGGCTTATACGATTCGTATGGTTGGAATCGAGCATCTCACCGGGAACAATTTCTAAGTTGCCCGGAAGTGCTGACCAAAAATTTGGTCGGATGTATGCGGACCGATAGGTCGATGCGTTTGTTTAGGACGGCTAACGTGCTCGACGGGGACAATCGCCGAGCGTTCGTGTTTTTATAGTCGCGGACGGACTTGGGGGAATATTTTTCTTGAGAATTTAGGCGACGTCTCGCCGGTTCTTTCCGAAAATATTTTGATATGCAAGTTTTATAAAAACGATTAAGTAGTTGTTACTGCGGAAGCGATTTTCCGGATGTTTGGAATTCTTTTTGCGTTTTCGATAGTAGCGGAGATATTCTAACTTTGTCTTTAAAAATTTCGAAAAATTTTCGATTACAAAGCGAAAGTTTTAAAAATTTGGGAGTATACGAATACTCGTATACTCACCCACTCCCCCCCCCCCTCGTTTTGGAAGGGGGGATAGCTGAACTCGTCTTTAGGCGAGCTGCCTACGTATTCCTTTCGGAAATCAAGCCATCTTGTAGTTCTGATTGTTTGCTCGAGTGTGCTTACTCGGCTGTCGCAGACTTCTCGATCGCTTCAGTTGCGGGATCGATGTCTTTGTCTGGGATTGTCTCTTCTGGCCGGGTAGAAGCGATGGGTGCGGGAACTTGTGGTTTCTCGACCATTGCTTGCTTTGGGTCGTCTTCTGCGGGCGGTGGCGTGACCTTTGCTCGTTTTGGTTTCACGATTGCTACCGCCAATTGCCTCAGCTTATGTTCGGCCAGGAAGCAGGATCGCGATTTTCTTTGGCATCCCCAAATTGCTGCGACTCCCGTAGGTGTTGGGAATTTGATGCCTAAGTGATATGTTGACAGAACCGCCTTCATGGAATTTATCCAAGGCGTGCCCATAATCACATTGTAGATGGCCGGGAAATCGACAACTGCGAAGTTGACGATTTTCGTCACTTCTTTGGCTGCCACCGGTAGCCGGATCGATCCCAAGGTCATCGATGCCTCGCCGGAAAAGCTAGTCAACGGTTTTGGAATAGGTTAGACTTCCGAGAGTTCTATTCCCATACGTGCTAACGTGTTGCGGAAGATGACGTTGACCGTACTTCCGGTATCGACCAGAATTCTAGCGACCTCTAGATCGCTTATCACCAAATCGATGACAAGGGGATTGGCATGCGGGTGGTCGATTCCGCCGGTTTCAGCATCGTCGAATGAGATCACCCCTTTCGGAGAGTCATCCGTTGGCACCTTCCAACTCGAGCCGGTTTCGGCTTTACGTTTGTAGGATTTGATAGAAGATACGGTGTCGTTATAATATTATGATTCACCGATAATCATGTTGATTTTTCGGTGGTTAGCGCCGTTACCTTTCTCGTCTTGCCTTCGTCCGCGTTTTTCGCCTGACTGGTTTCCCTGAGGTGGAGTTTCCGCTCGTGCGTTCTTGTCGTTCTTCGGAAGGCGATCCGAATCGCGGATGAGATCCTTGACACTGGATATCTCGGAGAGTTCTCCCGTGACCAATTTTGCGGCAAGTCTGGCGCCGAGAACTTTGCAGTTCACGGTGGAATGCCCACGGGTTTGGTGGAGGTCGCAGAGAGAATTCTCATCATAATTTGAATTTCTCGTCCACGTGTTACTCGTGGTTCGCCCTTGCTCCAATCCAGAGTTGATGGCGTAGTTGAGCGCCCCTTGGAGATCCTGACCCTTGTGATGGATGAATTTATCGTTACGAGAATTCCTCTTTTTTGTGCTTCTGCTCGGACGCGTTATCCTTTGCGGACATTTTCGTCGGCTTATGCTTCTCGGACAGGATTTTAGTCTCCTCCTCGATGGCTATGTAATCGGTAGCCTTGTGGAGCGTGTCCTGGATCGTCCGTGGCTTTTCGAGAGTTATCCACTTTCGGAATTTCGATTTGTACCAAAGCGATTTCCTTAATGCTTTGTTGGCGGCTTTGTCGTTAATTCCGCTAACCCTATCCATGACGAGTTTGAACCTACTCATGCAATCGCGGAGAGATTCGTTCTCCTTCTGCACCAAGCTCCAGAGGTCGGCGTCAGAGGTTTCCGGGTTAATGAACATCAAGTATTGCTTTAGGAATTCCGAAGCCAGTCGACGGAAACTTCCGATCGAATTTCGCCTAAGTTTGTCAAACCATTCGAGCGCTGCTCCTTCTAGGTTTTCGACGAAGAGGCGGCAGTAGCCTGCGTCCTTTTCGTGGTCATTGAGCTTGGCTCGTCCCATGGTGATCTGGAATGCCTGTAGGTGTGCTTTGGGATCAGATGTCCCGTCGTAAGTCGGCACCTTAAGTTTTCTGGGATCAGGCAGTTTGATCTCGGTGATGCGAGCCGTGAAGGGCGTTTTTCGAGACTCGTACAGTAACTGATCGATTTCGGGTGCGGCGCTGGTAGCGTGATGAATCTGAGATTTCACCGCTTTTACCGCTGCGGCCGTTTTAGATCCCGAATCTCGGTCAGATTGCCAGCAATTTTCCGACCTTGTCGGCGTTTGCTGCGAGTAATTAGAGATCGCTCCTCGGCAGTTTTTGCGTATCGCGCGAAGTAGAGTTCCTCCTCGTCTCCAGTAAGAGAACATTTGGGAGAAGACTCCGGTATAGGAGTTCGAGTTTTTCTTCTCCTAGGATGGACATCAGCGTCTTCGTCCAATGAATCGGCCTGGTCGCTTGTCTCCAAGTTAACCCTTTCGATGCCGTCGCCCTCGGTCTCATGTTCGTGAGTAGGAGGTTTCTCCGATTCGTTTAGCGTCGCGTCAGGGTTACCCTGCTCGGTTCTGGGACAATCCGTAGGAGCGCTGAAATCGAGCCACCTTCCGCGGATCTTAGTAGTTCCGCGAGGCGAATTGCTCGGGTTTTCGCGGTTAGGGTTTCAACCCGTTTTGCGAGCGAACCGATGAGCTTTTCCTGCTCTTCCGATTTTTTGTTAAACTCGGAAAGCATCTTTTTGATGGTCTCGGTGTTAGCGTTTTTAGCGTTGGCCGCGGACGTATCTTGTGGTGGTGGTGTTTCAACGTTGTCGCGTTCGTTGCGAGTTTGGTTGTCACCAGTCATCGTTTCTTCGTTGGACATGTTGCGGCTTCGGTGTAAGATAGATCCGACCCCCCCTCCTTCTAGCGCCAAACTGTGGGAACCAAAATCCACCTACTGTCAATAAATCGTAAATAAGGAAACTTCGGGAAAACCCTTAGTTTCCAGAGGAACCGGCTATATGCAGAATCGCACAACGAAGATTAAGAAAACGACGAACTTAGAATTTAAAAGAGAATAAACGAAATTGAGAGCAAAGAGGTTCTTATTCCGAATCTGCGTAAGAACTGTTACAACGAGAGTAGCCTTAGCTGCGTGAGCCGTCGGCGAAATCCCTAGAAATCTAAGAACNAACCCTTAGTTTCCAGAGGAACCGGCTATATGCAGAATCGCACAACGAAGATTAAGAAAACGACGAACTTAGAATTTAAAAGAGAATAAACGAAATTGAGAGCAAAGAGGTTCTTATTCCGAATCTGCGTAAGAACTGTTACAACGAGAGTAGCCTTAGCTGCGTGAGCCGTCGGCGAAATCCCTAGAAATCTAAGAACGAAAACCCTAGTTGAGACGCATCTCGCTAACAGAAAACAGAAATATTCCTAAATACTAATTTTTTTGTGGTGAGAGCTCTGAAAATCGTGTCCCAGCTTCTGCCCCATGCCTCTTGCTTATATACTCCCTCTTAGGCGGTTTTAGTCTTTCCATTCTGCCCGAAACTGAGTTTATCGGGAATTTTCCATTTCTCTCGATCCTTCCTTTTCTTCTGCGGAAATCTTCTATTTATCTCCAAACTTGCCTTTTTCTTCAAACTTGACATTTATCTTCCTTCCGCGAGTAAACCATCAAAACGTTATCATATTTTCGGGTTAGGTAAATGTTGAGATCGCGAGATGGGTTTTTATCGCGTTTTAGGACCTTCCGGGCCGTTTTGCGATAAATCCGTTTCACGACCTTGTACGGAATCGTTTCCTGATTCGATGCCGTTTTTAGTAAATTCCTCGAGTTAATCGTAATGTTTAGCTACGTTTTTTTCTCGGTTAATTTTTTCCGTCTTTTACGATTTACTCGACATTTTTATTAAAAACGCGTTTTTTACGATTTACTCGACGTTTTTATTAAAAATATGTTTTTATGAATTTAACGAAAAATCTTGGATAAATCGTACAGTTTAGGCGATGTTTGGTGTCTGGTTTAACCGTTACCGTTTTATACGATTTCTTCGAGTTCTTTTCGAGAAAACGGAATTTTACGGTTTTTATCGTAAAATTCGAACAATAAGTCGGATCGAGACGAAACGAGAGACATTTCGGCCGTGGTTCAGAATGCGACCGTGTCGAAGGACGTAAGTTTCGAATCGGGGATGCGGGAGATCGAGGCTTGGGATGGTCGGTTCAACGTACAGAGAATCGAGTCGGTCCGATCCAGCTCGCCGGTTTGACGAACCGTCCCGGAAATCTCTAGTTCGCCTGCTGGCGAACTAAGCCAGGCTGGCTTAGTTCGCCAGCAGGCGAACTAGTCGGGGAGTTCCTAGTTCGCTTGCTGGCGAACTAAGCCAGTTTGGCTTAGTTCGCCAGAAGGCGAACTAGTCGTGACTAGTTCGCGTTTTGCGGCGGTTTCAGTTTTTCGGGGTTTTATAAAACGATTCTCGAGTTTTATAAAACAACTTCTCGAGTTTTATAAAACGATTCTCGAGTTTTATAAAACGATCTTTGAGTTTTATAAAACGACTTCTCGAGTTTTATAAAACGATCTTTGAGTTTTATAAAAGGACTTCTCGAGTTTTATAAAATGATCTTCGAGTTTTATAAAACGACTTCTCGAGTTTTATAAAACGATTTTCGAGATTTATAAAATGATCTTCGAGTTTTATAAAACGACTTCTCGAGTTTTATAAAACGATTTTCGAGTTTTATAAAATGACTTCTCGAGTTTTATAAAACGATTCCGAGTTTTATAAAAAGATTCTTGAGTTTTATAAAATGATTCTCTGGTTTTATAAAACTATTCCTTTCGTATTTTTGCGGGGAATTTTGGCTATTGATTCCGTCGTACCGATTTTGACCCCAACACTCCTACTCCCCATTCCGTTTTTCTCCAACTGTTTTCCTTAGGCTGAAGCAACCGAACCAACAGACTTGGATTCTGCATAACCATAACCAAAAAAGAAAGCATCTCTTGTTGACTCTCTTCCATCCCTTGAACTCTGTTTTCTAAGAGCAACATCAACGCCAACGCTTTCTTATCCCCTTTCAAAATATCAACTTCTTTCTACAATTCACTCTTCTCATACTTTCCCTGAGTAGGAGCAGCTGTAGCTTTGCTCTGATGCTCACTCTGAACATTCTTCCTCCTGATTACAGTCTTTAGCAACTCCTTTTGACCTCTCACAAACCAGTCATTCGCAAACTCATAACGATCTGCATCAACTTTTTAAAACCCTGACACCAAAAAAAAAAACACAAACTTTACTCTCACCACCCAAAATTCTTACTATATTGAAGAAATATATTTATTGATAATTAGCATATACCCATTTCATGATTGACATAAAGTAATCAAATTTCTCAAAAAAGAAATCAACGTTACATATTCCAAGATTTCAAGAAACAACAAAAGGGCAATTCAAGAAAAGAAATCATTATCATTGATAGAGAGAGAGAGAGACTAATGTAGATGTTTAGCTGGCGGATGAAGCTAGAGAGGTTGCTGTGTTTGAAGTGTTTGGCCAAGAGCTGAGCAGAGAAGACGGTCGTGTCAGATATAACGAAGCTATTATCTCCATTAGAACTCCACAAGATTATTGAATCAGTTGAGGAATCGTCCTATGAAAAGCTTTATATCCTTTAGGAGACAGAGTTTGAAGTCTCAGAAGAGTGTCAAAACAGAAGCTTCCAAAGAAGGTTTGTGGAGATGTATGTAGAGGGGAAGAAAGAGTTGTTACTCAAACCTCAGAAACTCTCTCTGAAGTATCACCTCGTTCTGAAACCGATTCTGAGGGTTAGATCGAAGAGACTTTTGTAGCTGAATCTGTGAAAGAGATCCAAGAGACTTATGAGGCGTATGATTAGTACTCTGAAAGTGCCGAGATGGTGAATTTTTCAGAAGGTAAACATGAAACTGAATCAAGACAATCTGAAAAGACAGCTCACCTTGATAAAGTAGTCTACCGCACTGTCGCATATTTTCACAAATAAAATAGACCCAAATTTTGTTGAAAGAAACTGGCTGCGATAAGAAAACCAAAAATACATTCAGTTATACTTGATCTAGAAGACAAACACACTACTATATTGATCACTTCAATCCAACACCCATCGGCGCAAAAAAAAGAAGGTCAAAGCCGACGTAGTTCATCATCTTCACTTTGCTTTCTTCTTAAACAAAAGAAACCAACACCGTCTCTCTCTTTCTAATCAGTTTAATCGAAGCATAAGCTAAGAGGGAGATCTATAAATACAAAAATGGCGAAGAAGGTGAAAGGAGGAATCCATTGAATGAGAGGAAACGAAGAATTGATTTGATTAAAGTCAAATATTGATTAGAAGTGGGTTAGAGGTCTGGGAGAAACGGAAGTGAAGAAGTCCAATCTCAGGAAGTCTAAGGGTGAGAGAGCATGTAGTTTCTAGATTTCTCCGCAAGAACCAAACCAGGATTCGCAAGATTAAACCATCAGATTTGAATTTCGGTCAGAAATCTAAACCGGGTAACCAAATCTGACGTGGACAATTGGAGGATTTTTATTGGTTGAATATAAAATCCTAGGTGGACATGCTGAGAGGTCTACGTGGATAATTGGAGGCTTTTTATTGGTTGAATATAAAATCCTAGGTGGACATGCTGAGATGCCTTTATTGGTGCCTTTTAATAGAAAACAGTAAACAAGATGAAGAAGGTAATTGTTCAGCTTGGCAAGGATTTGTTTTATGGAAGGATGGTTGCTAGATCTAGGGTTTCTATTCAGGTAATCAGGATTATAATGCTATAGATGCCTAACAAGTTGCATGCATGATATTAAAGATTTTCAACTCTTAGATGAAACTATCAGCTTTCGCAGTCTAGACTCGTCCATGAATCTGATGCCGACAATATCGATCGATATATACTTATCGTCGATCGATATATCTATAGGACTATCGATCGATATAGCTTCAGATCGAGTTGAAATAGTGCCCACCAAGATCATAGACTGGCTCTCGCTTATTCCTAGAGGATCTTTGCTTATACAGGATGATATCAGAATGGTGACTAATGAATTAATGCCATCATGTTCATGGTTCTAGTTCATGACTCTAGAATCAAGCATTAGGGTTCATCAAGATAATGAATATCACAACTTAGCAATCTATAGTTGGGGCTAATCCCACAACCTATCTGAACCCTAAATCCAACATGTAGATCTATTCAGACATGAAGATTGTCACAGAAATCATAGATGAATAGATGAAGAACATAAATAATATAAAACCAAAACCAATGGAGTTCCAGGAGGACTCCGATAGGAGTTCCTCCCTTCTCTCCTAACTAAGAGCAATGAAACAAAAGATGAAAAAGAAAGTGTAGCCGTCAACAATGGCTTGCAAATAACATAAATAGAATTTCAAATCGTCAAGGGTATTTTGGTAACTTTATGGTATCTTCTAGGCTTCAGTCGGGTATGAAATACTGTCAGCCTACGTTCTGGCATTCATATCAATCGATGTGTAGTGTCTCCCATCGATCGACATGCACATATCTTCTCGGATGCTTTCTCTCGCGAGACAGACTGACCACTCTTTAGTAAAATGGACATAACTGCTGATCTAACCGTTGGATTGGCCACAAACCGGTCGCATTGGAAAGCTAAATCAAAGCTCTATCTTGTGTCAAAAGATGGGATCAATCAAACCATAGGAATATCTCTATCCATATCTAATCATCTGACACGTCTGCGCAGCTGTGCACTCGAAATGCTCCAAAAGACACCAAAATCACCACTTTACTCCATAACGTACCTGAATCTGTAAATACTATAAATATACTCTATATTGTAGTAATTATACATAAAAAAAAAACAATAGACCACGGCTAAAAATGGGTAAAATCCATGGTCGATCAACTCCCTCAGAGTTACCCTTTTGCTTGTCCTTAAGCAAAACAGACATGCAGTCTCTCTAAAAGAGGTTTGAAAACAGGAGGGACTCAAAATATTTTAAAACTCAGTCACCATCTCTCTAGTAGTGCAAACCAAATCATAAACATCCTAACCTTAGAAGCACATTATACAATATCCTAGTATAGCAACCAAATTAACCTAGTCAACAACTCAACAGATCATGTCCGACAATCCCCTCTACTAACCTCATTTCTTACATAAAATAAAAGTGCAGGCTTTACCTTGGGAGTATCGATCAAAGAATACATGGATTCAACTCAGGCAAGTTTCAGGCATTCTCATTTTGGTTTCTTTTCTCCCTATATCTCCTTCTCTGAATCCTTAATTTTTTTTTTTTTTATATCAATCCCAATGAACAACAAATGTTCACCGTATTGATCTTTCTACTTTTTGTAGCTTTTCTAACAAAGTGTAGGCGAATAGTGGGGTCATGGGTAATGTACCTCTTCCTCGCTTCCACAATGTGTGATCATTCCTTTGAATTAGAATAGTGGGGTCATGGGTAATGTACCTCTGCCTCTGCCTATCAGGAAATCATCTCAATCTTTTATTTTTCTCTTTTTGAGATGCCAAAGGAAGGAGAGAAGAAAACCAAAATTATCCAGACTTTTACCTTCCAGACTTGCAGAAGGATTCCAATCCCTTGTATACCAAGCCCTAACACAAGCAAATCAAGTCAATATTAGGTTGGAGGTTAGCTTTGATTCCTTCAAACAATCTCAGCAAGTGTGGATAGTTGACAAGTTGATCCACTTTAGTATCTATAGTACTTCTGCAGTCAGTAAATCTAAAACTGGTATAAAGAGTGGTTAGATGAAAAGTAATAATCGAAATAGATCATCATCCCCTTCTTGACTCAATAAAATATTTTTTTGAAAATATTTTAAATAAGACTCATACAATAGGTAAACATTAGTAATCCCCCCAGACTTAAATTACACTGTCCCCAGTGTAACACAGTCTGTGGTAAGGTGAAAATCATAAAGCAAAAGTACGAAATTTAACAAGAAAGAACGATATACCTGACCGGAGTAAGTATCGATCGATGAAAAAGAGTTACCATCGATCGCTGCAAGTGTTGTACTGTCGATCGATATCGACTGTTTCTCGTCAATCGATTATCATAGTAATCATCTACTCGGGTCTGCTTTTCTAACTAAACACACAATATTAGTAGAACCTCCCCCATACTTAAATAACACTGTGACCAATGTTATACAGACTAAGATTGGTGGGACAATAAACCATAAGGAAAATATTTAACAAAGAAAGACTGTATAACTGCTTTGATGTGAGTATCGATCAACACAGTTAAGTGGCGATTGATATTCTTGATGCTCTGTCGATCGATGCTAGCTAGTCATTGTTGATTCTTATGCAAAGTCATCTTCCTTGAATCTTTTTCCTAATACCTGACATAAATAAAACACTAACAGTGGGTTGCCTCCCACACAGCGCTTATTTTTAGTCATTAGCTTGACTTCTGGAGATCTGATTCAGTCCGGATGAGAATGAGAACTTGCTCCAATTGAAGTCTCAATATCTACTATTTGAAGCTTTATCATTCTTGTGTGAAAGCCTCCTCCATAGACTTTCTCCTCTGTCTATCATCTCAGGAATAAGGAGTGCTTTAAGCTTTGCAAAAGGCTGTGAGAAGTATTTGTTGCGCACTCTGGATTTCTTTACACCATCTGAGAAGTGAGGAGTCAATGGTAACTCAGAAACTCCTTTGGTTCCTTTCCGCTTCTTCCAATTTCTCCCCTTCTTTCCCACAAACTTGTGTAATCTCACTTTGGATTTCCTGACATCATCTGAGAAGTGAAAAATCAATGATAACTGAGAACCTCCATTGATTCTTTTTCTTTTCTTCCAATTCATCCTCTTCTTTTCCCCAAACTTGTATGAATGCGTGGTGGTATCTTCATCAAAAATATTTCACGTCTGGTGTCGATCGATGTACCAGTGGTAGTGTCGATCGATTGTGGATTGATCATGTCGATCGATTGTGTCTGGTCAGTGTCGATCGATGTTTCGTCTGCTGGGGTTTTATCGACTTCATCTCTAAATCAAAACTCTCGATGTGAAGCTTCTACGTGCTGATGATCATCCAGTACCTCTATGTAAGAACTCAGCTGTGGACCTTTATCTGGTGGAATAGGAGATTCAACTTCAAACACCGCATTTGGAACCATAATCTTAACAGGATCATGTATCCTTTTCACTCTTTTGTGAAACCCATCAGCTTCTTCTGTCCACATAGGTGGTCTCTCCTGTTTAGGGACAGTAATGTGCGAGGCTTCAGAATTATGCACTATCTCCTCAATTGGTTCTAGCTTGACTATGTATCCTGGCAGTTCATCCAACTAGTTGTTGATCGATACA